TATATATATATATATATATATATATATATATATGTATGTTTATGTTTATATATATATAAACACTTGTGTGTTATTGAAAATAATTTATAAAAAGTAATATTCTATTCAAATCTAGAATGGTAAGCTTTTTTTTATCTTAAACTTAATGGAAGCCTGTATTTCTGTAATTAATTGTTATTTACACACTTGTGAAAACGTTTTATTCCCAAGAAGGTAAAAAATATCTGTACCTTTTTTTATCAGTTTTATGATTATAACAATACATACAAATTGAAAAAATTAAAAAGTATGACCATATCCAACATAGGAATAACTGTTTTTTTTAACATTACTTAGAGAATAAAATTATTACTTGAACAATAACTGAATACATTTCCATTTCACAATATACAAAAATAAATAAATATTTCTCCCTTAGATAATATTGGTCATTAATACAAAGATCCCTAATTTCTGTGTGTTAGTGCAAAACTGAAATAGCTGAGATGCATGGATACAAAAATTAATAAAAAACAGGAGTAATGCACCTTTTTTCATTTTTACATTATACATATTTCTGTGCATATACATTACATACATATAATTTAAGGACATTAAGGGACCTATTGGTCAATCAAGGTCATCTCATCCATTAAACTAAACTTTAAAATGAAAATAAAACACTCAGATCTAGCTCTGCTCTTTTAGATATCTATCAATCCTTCTAATAAACTCCCTTAAATTGACTGCATCCACCTCACCTGAACTCCACCCATTCAAAAGGCTAATAACCAGTCTTTTAGAAAAATAAAGCTGTCTAAGCTGAGGATAACTCGTACCCTGTCAAAATTTTCATTTATGTCCCCTAGTCCTACCATCTTCATCTTTAAGTCCAAAAAATTTCATACATCAACATTAAATCAAATTTCCTCTAACTTTTGTTTTTTCAAGAGAAAACAATTTCAAGGATATTAACCTATCCTCTATATGACAACCATTCCATCCTAGTAGCTTTTCCTCTGAACATAGAATGTTAAGGTTATTCCCATAATGCAAATTATGATATCCCACATGCATTACATTACATTGATTATAATTAAAAGCCATCCATTATTTATTCAATCTAAAAGTTTTACAAATAGCTGTAAAAGTTATCATGAGACCAGGACAGTGAATGTCTACATACTTCAATTATGGTGTTTACTTGCTTTAAGGTGGTTTTAAGACTATCTAAAAAAAAAAATCACAATATTTTCTATTTGACTCCTACCTCATATCATCCAATAAATCCAAATCTTGCTGGTGCTTAGCTTGAAGTTTTGTGATTTGTTCATTGTGAATATTTCGTAGATTTGTAGCAGCCTTAACCTTTATGTGGAAAAAAAAAAGAAGATAAAAATTCACATTATTAGTCTTTGCAGTTTCAGTTTCACAACCATGATAAAACCTGTAGTAAAGATACAAGATCTGATTTACATCACTGCGGCAAGGATCCAAATCTTCCAAACTAAGAAAATTAGAACATGATCCTTTCAGCATACACTATGTACTTGCACTTTATCACTTACACTATTTTGTTTAAGTTATCACAAAAAATTAAAAATTTCACTCAACAAACACATTCTTAGATTCTATGACACTGCTAAAAATGTATGTTGGATAATTTTACATAAACATTATCCAGAACAGATGCCATTGTATAAATCAAAATTTAATTATATTGATAACCTACAATTTTGCACTATTTAAATTGCAACCTTGTGGAATTTTCATAAAAATTACATAGTAATTTTAGAAATCTAATATACAATATTTACAATACACAATTTTAACACCAAGGTTATAAACATAATTTACAGTGGATTGTGACACTCTTTTTTTTATAAATACTATAGCAGAAAATGGAGAAATTTTAGAATTTTCACACTAAATGTTTATTAAGCCATCAACTCCAGTTTCTTGGACAATTACATAGCTGAAAGCAACATGTTTTTATAATTCTTCTTTCTCCATATCATTTACAAAGTTAAACTTTAAAAAAAAAATTCTTAAAAGAAATTTTAGTTTAAGATAGAAGAAATAAGTTTCTTGTACTGTCTATTAATATTATATGATGTTACATCATCTTCTACATTATTATAAAAAGTGTTTCTACAAAAGTTGTTCTCAAAACCTGTGAAAATCTAAATATCCTAAGCTTTACTACTCAAAATCTAAAACCTTCATAAAACCACAATGCCTATTTGCAAATATTTTACTTTTAGCTAATTTAATTTAAAAGGCTGCATCAATTGTAAAGAACTATTGTTTGATACATAAAGAAAACATAAAATTGGCAATTTTACAGGTAATTATATCAAAAGTCTGTTGAACAGAAGTCTCGGGTTTTATATTTTAATTTCTATGTATGATGCAGAAAACCAATTAAAAAGTTTACATAGTTTACCATGCCATAATTCCTAGGTTACAAAATTATTTTGGGTTGTTTTCAATTTTTATTGATATTTTCTATGTGGCTCTGAGAAAAAAACATTTTGCCAAAAATTAATGCAATATAAAAAAGCTGTCAAAACTCTTTCAAAAAAATATAAAATTTATATCAGAGCTACTATATCTATTCTATGGTAAAAAATAAGTGATTATTTTTTATTATCTTCACTTTTAATCTAAAAAAGAAACCCCATAACCTGAGTATTTTCAAAGGTAACCCTTTTTTTTTTTTCTATCAGGGGCAAACTTTTAGTCTGATATTAGAAAAAACTGGTGTCTAATTACTATCAACGTTATACTAAGTTTAGAAATTAATACTAAAATCAATTCACAATTCGAATTATCCATAACTGGCATAAGACAACTAAAACTAAAATACTTCTTTTTGATAAAATATAGCATTGTTTGGCATACGAGTTAAATGCATTACACATAAAACATTAGTTATGAAAGTTAATAATAATGACAAACGGTAATAATATTTAAAGCACAAGATAGCGCAATGCTACTACTACTAGACGTGACTAAAAGAGGCACAGTGGTAAGTACACGAGTTGCATCATAACGTAAAATGCGTATAACAGTTAACACGTTACATTACAAATACAAGTTACAACTTCATTTGTAGCTTTATAAGTTATAACTGGTATGGTAAATTGTAAGATTGAACATTCTACCTCAAAGTTTCGAATAATATATGATCTAAAAATATGTCACATACCTTTCTTGGAGGTGGCTGCATTTTTTCGTTCTTTTATAAACCCTTATTTCTCACTTGATTATGTACGGCCACCACAAGAGCCGCGGGAATTACTTTACCCCATGATTTCGATCTGTGTCAATATTTGTTTATGTTTGGTGGCGACGTCTAGTGACGTACTTTCTAATGAGATTTTTTTTTAAGTACTTGCACATATGATTAATTGTAAAATGTCTGATGGGATTGAGTTTACCAAAATTCGTCAGATTTATCAATACAGTGCATTACACTGAATAATAAGAGCATTCCGATGGGCTATGCTGATGGCAACATTGTATGTTTTTTGGATTACAAACTTGAAAACTGTGCGAAACGTGTGAAAAACTCACACTATCGTAAATCATCTGTAATACTATAAATTGTAAAGAAAAGCCAATGATCCTTAACGTTACGGACTAAATAAAAACAACAGTAGCATTTTTTGCTTAAAATTTATTTTTCATAAATATGTTATTTTTTTTATCAAAGTGAGTTCAATTTATTTAAAGATGAGTTAAAATTATACACTATTTTATTTGTATGATACATGTGTATAACACTTAGATGTTATTAAAGCTATATCTGTAAAAATGCTGATTCATGGTTCCAATACTTTTCTGTTGTATAACATTCAAACAACTGAAATATAAGCAAACAAGATAACTTCCTTATATCTTCCCCACTGCCTCCTGTCCCCCAGTGGCACAGCGGTATGTCTGCAGACTTACATCGCTAAAAACCGGGTTTCGATACCCGTGGTGGGCAGAGTACAGATAGCCCATTGTGAAGCTTTGTGCACAACTTCAAACAAACAAACCCCCAGTGGCACAGCAGTATGTCTGCCGACTCACATTATGCCCGGCATGGCCTGGTGGTTAGGGCGCTCGACTCGCGATCTGAGGGTCGCGGGTTCGAATCCCCGTCCCACCAAACATGCTCGCCCTTTCAGCCGTGGGAGCGATATAATTTTACGGTCAATTCCACTGTTCGTTGGTAAAAGAGTTGCCCAAGAGTTGGTGGTGATAACTAGCTGCCTTCCCTCTAGTCTTACACTGCTAGATTAGGGACGGCTAGCGCAGATAGCCCTCGTGTAGCTTTGCGCGAAATTTGAAACAAACAAACAAAGCCGACTCACAATGTTATAAACCGGGTTTCGATAATCGTGGTGAGCAGAGCACAGATAGCCCATTTTGTAGCTTCGTGCTTAATTACAAACAAACACTGCCTCCTAATAAAAAATTGAGGGTTTGAACTTCGGACGTTGAAATAAACAATAACAACAGAATAACAGTCATTGAAAGCTGTAACTTTTAAGAAATAAAATGTTCAAAGCTGTATTACATGGAATAAGAATGATTTAACGAGAAATATCTTTTACTGTATACGAGTAAAGACAACTTAACTTAGATCGAGCAGCGCTATCTATTAGCTGAAACAACACATTCTAGAGTTAAATATATTTTTGAAGATAATTGTCAGGGCAGATGATAGATTTAATAATGTCATTCTAATTCTAAATATTTCTTTTTTGTTGAGATACGTTATAAGTAACAGATGTGTCAAAACTCAGCAAACTCCAGAGATGTACAACGAAACCAGAAAGTATTTAAATTATGGTGAAAATCACTTAGCTAAGGTTACTTAAGTAGAGAAGAAAAAGTAATTTTTCACAACCAAGTAATAAAGTTCTTCTTTATATAAATCGCTTTCAAAACACTAATAATCGGGTAAATTTAAATAAATTATGATGTGATGTAACGTAGATATGCCCTAGTGGCTCAACGGTATGTCTTCAGGTGCAAGATGCTAAAAATTGGCTTTCGATACCCATCGTAGGTAGAGCATAGGTAACATATTGTGTAGCTTTGCGCTTAAAAACAACAACCAAATTAAACATAGGTAGAGTTTATTTCAATAATGAAAGCTAAATACGAACGACATAACAAATTTCAAACACAAACATTTTTGAATTGTTCAAGGAAATTCAAACACAAAAATGCGTTCGTATGTTTACTGATGTTACTTTCATTTTATAAGGTTTGATTGTTTGGAATTAAGCACAAAGCTACACAATGGGCTATCTGTGCTCTGCCCACCACGGGTATCGAAACCCGGTTTCTAGCGTTGTAAGTCCGCAGACATACCGCTGTGCCACGTGTTTATACTAATAGACATGACTACAGCTTAATCTCAAACTCGGCCTCAAATCTCTCCCTGCCATCTTGTTATTATTTAGGTAGCACCATCTGGTTCCAGTAAGAAAGAATGGGGATCGATACTGCAAACTAGTTACTAAATACACGAACTGACTTATATTAGGTGACACCAACCCATACTTTTGATCATTATAATCCACTAATTTTACATTGTCTCTCCATGGGGACCTTCTTCAGTTTGCAAGTTTAGTACCGCTTTTTGATGCGACTTACAAAGCTTTCCCCACACGGATGTTACTTACTGCCACCCCTTGAACACTTACAGCTTGCATTTTCATGTGTTATCAGTGCAGCTTCTATTGAAACAATGTCGAGGAAATATTTAGTAAAACTTTGCTTATTAAAAATCTTTTAATCTGAATGATTGAAAACATTCTATCACAACCAAATGAAACATTGTGTACATCAAGTTTATATTTGTTATATCTAAGCTACTGTCTGTGAATTTCACATACTACTGCTAATTTTACTCACTCATAAATAGTTCAATTTGATCCAACTAAAATATCTTGCACTGCTCTTTGTAAGAAACACTAAGCAGAACGGTTTTCTCTCAAATGTAGATGAGTCTTTTGTTACTCTTATCTCTTCCATATAAATTCACTACATGTCGAATATTTCCAACTTGAAACATTCTCTTACTATTATTAATAAAAATAAAAGGTATACCCAATTTTCAAATAATACCTTCCAGGTCAGTCATCACAATTAACATCATATCACAGAGTCTTAACATCGAGATCAAATCCTTTGTCTTCACACACATATGTTGCTTACGGTTGTGTTCTTGGTGTAGTTTATTCATTCATGTTATACAAAATTCATGAATAACTTTACGTAATGTGTGCAAGATTATACATACACATATCAATATTACACATTATCACATATTTTGGTACCTTATGACAAACTGCATTACTTCAGTTACTTATTAGCAGGTTCTCCAACTACAGGGTTTTACATTCTATTGCAGAAGGGTCTCACCATACAACGATATAGGGACTGTATGATACACATATTTTTATTATTAATTTTTCTTCAGTGTTCATGAACTCAAATGCATTGTTAAAGGTGTATTTTTTTTACATAACCAGTTATTTTCATTCTATATGAGAAGCATATATTTCCAATTAGAAAATTTATAAATGAATAAATAGGAGTAAACGGGAGAATCCCGATAAAACCCACTTTCACTAGACGGGACTGAATGAAAGCCCGACTAGTGTCAAGGATAAAGTCCTGGTGCTATTTTGTAATTATGGGCGATTGTTTTACCAGCTTTCCACTGGAATGGTATGTGAGGTGGAAGTAACTGAAGTTAGTGTTAGATTTGCACCACATCCAAGAACAAGTACACAGACATTCAAGATCGTTAGTTGAAGATTTTGCAAACTATCTGGACCCAACTCAATAACTTACTAGTTGAATATGCTGATGTATTCGTGGGACCAGATGGCCAATTAATAAAGGCCCAACACTACATAGATGCAGGTGCCACATGTCCGATTAAACAGGCATTTGTCAGACGTCGTTGGAACGCTAGGAATATAGCCAGTTCCGAAGTACAGCAGATGTTAAAGGATGGGATAATACAACCTTCAGAGGGTGCTTATTGTTTCTAGTAGTGACTGTAACAATGTAAGAGAGAAAGAAGATGCAGCGATTTTATTTTTTATTATTTTACACAGGTGAACACGGTAATTCATGCCAACACCTCTTCCTTTCTCCGAATAGATAAATATATGAATGTGTAGGAAGGTTCCTGTTGGATCACAATTTTAAATCTGGAACTTGGATACGGACAAGTCAAGCTGGACAATGAGATTTAGCATGCTATTGGCTTGTATGAATTCCACGCGATGCCATTTAGCATGCTATTGGTTTGTATGAGTTCCACGTCATGTTATTTAGCTTGTGTGATTGGTCCGTCAATTTCTAGAGGTAATATAGTTCACACTTAAGGGGCTGCACTGCCTGGTTTACATCGATAATGTTTTACTTTCAAGTAGATTTGGTCCAGAAAAAGTCCAGGGCTGACATGGAAAGTCTCTTGATGAGGTTAAAATGAAGAACTCCCATTTCGGATTGTCCTGAGTGCGGATAGTAGAATTATAATGGCTGGAGACGTTGTACATTTGCTGTTGTATTAAAGTTTTTCTTCATTACCCATTCAAGCCGTCTCCAGCCATTATTAGTCTCAAAGTGGGTTCCTCGTCATCGAATTTGGATAGTAGAATTAATGTACAAAGTATTCTATATCGTGAAATGTGCATAATTGTTCAAATTAAAGGTTTTCTGATTATGTGGTGCTTTTCTGTGTTAAAGGGTTTTGTCACGAATATATGTATCTGCATTCTCCCCTTTTCTTCTTATTAACTTTTAATTTATTTCGTCTCTATTTCCAGTTCATTTTTGAAAAATTATTGTTTATAATTACAAGTTTTGAAACTATTTTAGTTGGATCCTATCTTTATTGTTGTTTAATATTGCCATACATTTTCTAAATTTTGATTATACCAATGGTTTGTGCCCTTGACGTATGTTTAAAAGGGACATGACTAGTATGTATCATTATTAAATCTTTATTTTAGCTAACGCCTACCATTATTTGTTTTTTTGTAAGATAAACAAAACTGATTTACGTTGTTCACGGTTTTTATTTCTGTTCAGTTATTTCTTTGTAGAAGGATTTGTTACTAAATTGTCTTGTGTTATTTTCTACTGACCTCGTAACTATGAATTAATTGCAATCAAAGTTATCTATTGCATATAATGGCTTTAAAATTAATATTTTCTAAAGAATATTTCTCGAATACTCATTGCCAGTGTTATTTTTGTGAAAGAGGTTTATCTTTTTATAATATGCTTATCAGTATTAAATGGTATTTTTCATACATAACTATTGAATCGTAATCATTTTTCTATATTAAATTGTTTATTTATCATTTGTGAACTATTCCTTTTATGTTTAACCTTTGAAGGGTAATTTTATTAATGATAAAGTAAAAAAGTGTTAGTTTTCTCTGTTATAACAAAGTGTATTTTTTTTAATCAAGTATTTTATTAGACTGTATTCTAGTTTAAGTTTTCTGTATGTCCAAACTGCTACGTTATTTATATAATGAAGGGTATTACTGTATAAATAATTCAACTATGAATTATTCTGTGTTAATGTTTCATTTACTAATATGTAACAAGTTTCTGTTATTACAAAGTGCTTCGTTTGTATCCATTCTGTAAGGTATATTTCAATACAATTAAGGAGAAGGGTTGTATTGGATGATTTTACAGGGTTTTTTTTTGACGCCACTCCTTGAGCATCATGCGTTTGTCAACTTTATTGGCTTTAAAGTTAAGCTTGAGGTTTAATCTGAAGTAAAGATGGCAAGAGAATTATGGTATATATCAGAAATGGGTTTTCTATCTCCTTCTACTAAAAATATTTAAAATTTTGTTATTGAGTAAGAAGATCATTAAGTTCCTTCACTCTAGCTACCCATTGTTTCGTGTCATCCATCTTTTGTTTTCCTGTGCAAAAGATGGATATAAGGTAACTCGTGGTGTGTGAAGTTAGTTATCTTTTCTTCTGATAGCCTGGTGATCTTTTACGTTTCATTGGATATCAAGTTACAAGGGTAGTTACAAGTTACAAATATCTTGTCAATCTGGGTAAGTCTGACGTTAATGAGATAACGTGAGATTTATTCAGTTTGGAACAGGAGATCAACAGAGTGTCTAATGTACGACCTGAACGGAGATAAAGCAACTTTAACCCTAACTCTCCAGTTGAGGCAACTGTCCAGTATGGTAAATAAAATACATACTTTCACTGGGTTTGTTGTTAACAGACTGTTTATTCAGATTTTTAAATCTTTCTTTATCAAAGGATACAGAATTATTTTGTAGTAAATATCTTAAAGAATCTCTAGTTATTCAAACTTATGTTGTCACTTCTGGGAAATCAGCATTATCTGAAAATACTATAACACCTTAGCACGTTAATACAAGTTAAAGGATAGTCTCTTGATTTAAACAGGAAAAATCAGTAACTAATGTAACAAGTGTAGTTTATTAAGAGATATGACTCGTTTATGTAAAATTAAAATTTGGACTATTTATAACAATGAAATGAAAAATGTTGCTTTGTTGGCACCCCCAACCTTACCCCACGGGGTTTTCACTCAAGCACTCACAATGTTATTAAAGTAACAATGTGGTAAAAGTAGTAAATATCTGTAGTGACAAAATAAAGTATTTTATAGTGGCAATACGTTTTTGATGTAACAGACTGAATTTTTGGAGGATAGTGGTGACAGTCATAATTAACTGTAGTGACAGTATACGTCTTTGAAGTGACAGTGATGACAGATGTAGAAATTTGAAGACATGATACACATCTTTCAAGTGACAGTAGTGACACCTTTAATATTTACTTTATGGTTTTTTTACACATAATCAACAAAAATACCTTTTTTTAAACATTTGATAGTAATATCAATTATCGTGGTTGACATTAAAATAGTTCAGTTTTTTTTTACAATGTCGACCAACCGAAGGTATTATATACAATCAAAAATGGTCAATTTGGTTTTCTAAAATTTAAAACGCATTTGAAATGTCCTATTTTTCTTCAATGGTTTAACTTGCAAATGCAAGTTATAGGGGTCCATTACAACAACAGTAATCACATTTTTGTTTTCAATGGGTAACTGCATGGAAAATTACACCTTTTTTTAGAAGTAAAAATTAACATGCAAATTATATATACTCTAGCATATAAACACTTTCAACAAAAATACTCCTCTTACGTATTCACTACTCAACATCAGTAAATCCTGGAAGCAAATTACACCATACCATTCAAAACATTTTAATTTAAACAAATAATTTTTTACAGCAGAATTATGAGATTTGTATTGTATGATCAGATCCTGAAATACAACTTAAGTTGTTAGAACTTTGGTACAAGTCAGAGAAGACCAAATATTATATCTAACATAATGTCTCAAAAATATAAATTCACGTCACAGCTTTCAGTAGTAGCTTTTGCAATAAATGAGATATAAACTCATACTTTTGTAATAAACTCAGGTAATGTATATGGTGTTCGCTAGTAGTTTTTATCATGAGCATCAGCTTGTTCAAGTTGGCATTAAGTAACTTTTTATATGGTAATAACAAAATCATCAAGTTTCATCTCAACTATGTCTGCATGTAATAATTAGCTCTTTTTTTTTAAGTATCACAAACAAATCTGTGTTAACTCCATTAAAAGAAATAAATTTAATTTACAAGTTTGTAGACTATGTACTAAAAAAATGTTCAAGAAAGTTGATAAGCAAACATAATTATAGACTGAGGAAAATATGATACACTGAAATCATCTAAATAAACGAAACTAAGTAGTACAAGCTATTTGAATAAACTTGGCTGTTAATTTATAATTATCTTTTCACATAAAGATATACACTTCCCCACCAGATGATACTCGACAAGACTGCTTTTTAAATGCCAAACAAAATGAACCTAGTTTCACTGAAACAACTATTATTTACCCCTTATAGAAAAAAAAAAAGGTTGACTAGCTATTTAATCTATTAGATTTTATTAAGTTAAACATCATTTTAAGAAAAAAAAAATCTAGTTCAAATAAATCTTGTTCTTCACAAAATTTTTCAAATCTTCTTGTTATAAAGAATGTACTTTATAATCCCTTACTGGTGCTTCTAAAAGGCTATACATTTCAAAACTTCGAAGTAGTAACATAAAGTTGGTCAAACTCTGCTTTGTAAACCATATTTGTACAGATGGGTTATGTAAAAAAACCAAAAAAACAGAAAATAAAAGGAAAATAAGCAGTAACCCAAACAATATACTGTTTCGAATTCCATTCCAACTATTAACTGAACACTGAAAGTTGTTCAAAAGCAGAAAAAAAAAACTTGCTTTACAGGTCATATTCAGCTCAAATGAATATTAATTACAACAGCATTCTAAACAGGCCAGGATTAGTGTACTTGTTTACACTTTTATAATACAATATATCACATAGGGAAAAATCTTTATAACCAATATAGCTGGAAAATATAACAGCAGATATTTAACCCTTTTATATATATATATATATCTATATATAATTCATTAATTTTCACTTTCACAATAGAAATAAAACAAGATGGAACATATATTAACAGCTGCTTTAAAAGCAATGCAGATATTTACAAATGCAATTATACCTGGAGATAGAAATGTATGATAATATGTATTAAGATACCTATTCTGGATGTCAGAGTTCCCATCAACTTTTAAGTAACAAGAACCTAAGTTAGCTAACTCTTATATCTGGTTTGCATACAAGTTGAATTCCTAATCTTAACTGAATATTTACTATTTGCACCATTTTCTTTACTACCACAGTCTTCAATGGCTACCCATGGAGGATCAGAAAATGGAGTTTTTCGGTCAGAACGTAGATGGCGATCAGTTCTTTTAGGGGGTGATTGCCAGTCATTTTGTACAACTTTGAAGGCATCAGTTCTTTCATTATAAGCAGAGTCTCTCTTCCACCGATGAGAATCCGGATAGTTTGGATCCTTGCGTAGTTTAATGACTAGTCTCCTTGACTGGCCTTTCATCTCACCATTCAACAGCTTAGAATGACTATTTACCTCTTGGTTACTATCCCAATTTAAAGATGTTCTAATCTGTCGAAAACCAACATTTGCCAAAAATGACTCTTTTCCTGTTGTGGAAACTTCTGATAAAGGTGATAATGGTGAGTTACTTCTTGTGTTTTCCAAGATACTGCTTCCTGATTTAGTCTTCTTAGGTATTCGATATCCACTTAATGACCCTCTAGAAGTAGCTGAATTCGAAAATATGGATTCACAAATCTTTGCACTTTCCTCGCGTAACTTTTCTTTCTCAGGTGATTGATATAATGTAGCTTGGTTTTGTAAATGTAACTTAACATCTTTTTTGGGTATTTTTCCTGAAAGTGGTAATTTTTGAGAGTTTTTTGCAGCTAGTGGTATTTTTTCTGAACCTTTCAATTTCGAAGATGGTGACTTTAGTAGGTGTTCAGTTTGTTCATGCATTATATCAACTTCCTTTTTCACTTCTGAAGAAGAAAACCTGTCATTACATTTTATATTTTCAATGTCAGGTATAGTGTCTTTAAGATCATTTTGTATCACAGGCAAAAGGTCTGCTGATTTATCTACATGCTTTGGTTTTGTAAATCTTAACTCTGATAATGATGGGTTAACGTTATCCCTCTCCCTTGGTTCTTGTACATTTTCTAATGTATCCAGTACAGATGTCTCACATTCAGACACAGTTTTCAGGATGATTTCTGCAGGTGCCTGACCAAGTTCATTTGCCTTAGATTCACCATAAGATTCTTTTGTTGGAACTTTTAGCCCCGAATCATCATTTATTTCTATCACAGAAAATTTAGCCTCTGATTCAGCACCCAGTTCTTCCTTACAATCTTTTGAAACTTCTTTTGTGCTCACTTCTTCTACAGATCTTTCAACATTCTCAAAAAAGAGAGAGTCTGATAAAGACTTATCAATGGATGTACTGGTATGCACTGAAAGTGTCACAGAATCCTGAGCTTTGTAAAAAGGTTTTAAATTAACTGTTGTACAAGTGTCTTCCACTCCCTCTTTTCTTTCACTTTGGGTGTTATAGTCGAGAGGTATAGCTTCAGATGATGTCTCATGATCTTTACTTTCAGTTAGTAGTGATAACATCTTTTGATAATGGGTTCTCTTGTTGCTCTGTCTTGCAAATTGGTTCGTAAGCCTTTCAACAGACGAAGTTTCCTTTTTCTCCTTTAACAGTCTCTCAACAGAATCACAATCAGTTGGACTGAGATTTGGCAGCACAGACATTGAAGAAGGTACAAATTCACTATCTTTAGAGTAAAACTTATCATAAATTGTAGACCCTTGACTGGCTACTATCACATCTTCAATATCTTGGTCTGTAAGACTGAGGGTATCATCAGCTAAAGTTTTAACTTGGGTCTGGAATATTTCTTCCTTTACTTTCAACCAAGAACGGAAGAGTTTTTCCCGTCTATTCACCATATAGCACAAGTTTCTCACCTAAAAAATATTATTATTAGCAATCATAATTTTAGTGGAGGCAAGTTTATTTATGAATATACTGAAACAAACAATTACAACAGAAATATCTAATGTGTACTAATGATTCATAAATTTTTCTTGTAAAACAATTATTTTAAAGTTAACCACTTTATTAAGGAATTTTAAACATTCACCAATGACAAGAACATATATGGTCATGTATATGATTTTATTTATTTCAGATTTCAAAAATACTAATCAATACCAAAAGTGTCACAGAGACAGAAAAAAAAAATTCACTAAGCTCAAAAACATCAATGAATCATACGATAACACAAAAAATTAGATATATTTCAAAAAGTATTCTAAGCATGAAAATGTTCCTTAAATATTATCAAACAAGAGGTAAGAAAAAATAGCCTGTTGAGCTTTACAACAGTGAAAATTGACAAAATGAATCTAATACACACCCGCTCTATGTCTTGTCGCAGCTGAACAAACATTTTCATACATGCATACAAGCTGTCTTCTTGCTCTTTTCCAAAAAGGTCCGACTCTTCTTCTTTTGGAGTTAGTAATGGCTTATCGAACTGAGCCTTGAAATATACAACAAAAACTTTTTAACTCACAAATAGTGTTACCATTATCCTTTATGAATAGCTAAACAGCTAATTATTTTAACAGTTTTTGATAAACTATTTCAAATTATGCATCATGATACTTAAAATTTTTTAAAAACATTTGTAACTCGTATAAACACTATAACTAACCCTTAGCCTTCCCATAACAAACATTTACAGAAAAACCAAAAACTTGATTTAAATGATTTTTTCCCATATTTACTTTAATAAATTTAAACATTACTTAAGTCATGAAACATCTTGATTTTTTCTTTTATATTTTCAAGTTTTGTTAAGAGCTAAAATAACATCCTACAATATTTTTAAGTGCCAAACCCAGATGACAGCATGTTTTTAAACTAACTAGGTTTAACAGGTTCAAAGTTCATTTGTAAAAAGATAATGTCATGTCATTTCCAAGTTAAAATTTAAGAACAGTGAGTGTAGTACAAAGTCCCAATTGTTTTTTTTATGTTTATTAACTGCATTTTACGTTCTGCATTAACTCATATGAATCTCATACAGCAATGAAATGTGACAGACGTAGGCTTGAAGCTGTGTGTGTGTTTTGGAATTCATATATAGCCTTTTATACCTTAGACATAAAAAAATGTAACAAATCATCCTCGCAGAATTTCTTCTTATCAGTTTTAAAAATTATAATTTAGGACTTACAAATTTTTTTGCTAATAATTGACAGTGTTCAACTTAGCACTAACCGGAAAGCATTTTACGTAATATCATCAGGATTACCAATAACTAAAATAATTTGAAATACTATGCACTGCCATTTCTACCATACACTATAAGCTACAAGTCTACAGCTGCAAATAAACTGTTAGCAACAATGATCTCTCTCGGGTGAAGTTAACCTAAATCAATCTTAAGATGCGAATTTAGCCGTTACTGTTTTGAAAATTACTGCAAACCTTGGAAATCATTAACAAAGCTCCACCACTAAAAAATAAGTCAAAAAATAACTACCTCATTTAATTAAAAACTGACTTAACATATTTTTTATAAGTTCAGTTAGAAGTTAACTTCTCTCACTGGAATAGCATAGATTTCATAAAAAACAGGAAGGACGAGGAATCTTTTAAGTCTGATTTTTACAGCCCTTACTTACTGATCAAGATCAGCCCAGAAAAGAATTTAAGCTAAATGTTTTAAGAGAGAAAGCAAAATCTTACCTTTCTTTTTAGTTTCCAGTACTGATAAACAAAATCCACAACAGTTGGATCAACTTGTAGGAGTTCTGCCGTTTCCTTTGTATTCACATAATTATAAAATTCTGATGATATCTGTTTGATCCTGAAGTGAATGTAAAGGATACCAACACAATAAGATACATTACAAATTATAAAACAGCTTTCTCTAACACTTTTTATTGAGAATACCAAATGACATTCTTGTAACACCTTATGCTGAAGAAGTTCAGTATTTTATGTAAAACAACTGTTTCATCAAGAATATTCTGGAAAAGCTCCTAATTCCTTAAGTCACCATTATAGTATAATAATGATGAACAAAATAAATCTTAACTAATCACATATACATCATCATATGAACATCACACATATATAAACATGCAAGGAAAACTTGTATGTAGTTTTTGTGTATAGTTTTGATTAAAACCATCTCCAATAGTATTTCAAATAATTTAACATTAGGTAAATATAGGATACTCTTACACTATAACATGAAATATTTCATGCAAACCTATGCCAAAGATAAAATTTTGACCAAATGTCATTGATAAAAACTAACAGGAAGTAATTCAAAAATGGTATGTGTAAATTTTTATCAATGACTAAATATTCAAATTATAACATATATTGTCCATAAAATAGTTGGTGTTTAAGTATTGATCTTAGTTAGCTTTGCCTAATTGCTTCCTGAAATTATTTCTATACATCATTAAGTAAACCTATTCGTAATTTTGAAATAAAATGGCAGAACAATTTTTTATATAAATAAGGTAGTTGAAAAAGAAAAACAATATCTCATAATGTTCAAAAGTTCTGTTTAAGATTTACTCCTTTTTCAAATACGACATGCTAATAAATTTTAAAGTACTTTTTTTCTCTTGCATTTTCCCACTCTTCACATGACATTTCAAATTCTTTTCTTGGCTTTTGTTTCTTTTCATTCTTCTTCTTTCTTGGACTGTCATTTTCTGAATCTGAAGAATGATTACTTCCCTTCTTCCGACTGTGCTTCTTACAATAAGACTGAGAAAAACAAGATAAAAGTAAAAACAAATCAGAATTTGAAATCTTCCCAAACAAAGGAATGTTTTCTTTAAAAAATAAAAGTTAAAGTGAACATTCTTTGATGATCTTTTTTGTACAGTAGTTCACGATCCATTGGTCCATCTCAGCTGTTCCATCCTCTAAAATAAATTAAAACTATTAATACATAAATTTTTAAAAAATCTTAAAGTCAGCCCTTATCATTCACATACTTATGAAGCTTTCTCTTAAATTCACTTAAATAGATATAACCTTAAATCCTATTTGCCCTACCACTAGCAACAGCACATTGCTTGGATGGATGGATTTAGAGACTGATCAACTATTACACCAAGATCTCTTTCCTTCATCACACCGTTTATGTTATTCCCATCCAAATTATACTTATAATTCAAACTATGATAACCCACATGCATTATCTTGCATTTATTATAATAAAAATCTATTTGACATTTATTTGCCCAACTCACTAAATGATCTAAATCCTTTTGTAAATCAGCAGCATCCTCTTCACAGGTAGCAACACCTAAGACCTTAATATCATCTGTAAATTTAAGTAATTTACTGATCATTCTTTCATCTATGTTATTCCCATCCAAATTATACTTATAATTCAAACTATGATAACCCACATGCACTATCTTGCATTTATTATAATAAAAATCTATTTGACATTTATTTGCCCAACTCACTAAATGATCTAAATCCTTTTGTAAATCAGCAGCATCCTCTTCACAGGTAGCAACACCTTAGACCTTAATATCATCTGTAAATTTAAGTAATTTACTGATCATTCTTTCATCTATGTCATTGCTGTAAATTAAAAAGAGCAAAGGTCCTAATACTGGGCCCTGA